CCACTAGACACCCACAGGCCCAGGTCAGCCACGCATATGGAAGGGGCAGAGAAAGCCACCCCACTATGCTTCCTCACTGCCCCCCTCATCTGAGATTGAGCCATTCTCCTTCATCACCTCCCTGAGACATGCAGGTTCTTCTGAGGGTCCCTTAAGTCCTGTTCTCAGAGCTGGTCTTGATGTGTCCTGGTTCTGCCCCCCATTCCCAGAAGTCACAGGCCTGATTCTTATGGGTCCAGAGTCACACTCCTGCTCTTCAGCCCCACACCACTGTTTCCACCAGTTCTTTGCCCTGAATTTTTATCCTCAAATCACCTGCTTCCCAGTCTAGGGAATCGCTAAACAACTTGGCCTGGTCTCTATCCCTAGCTCGCCCCCCCACAATTCCATCTCGGCCCCATGGTAACTGCTCCCTGCACCCTGTTCTGGGGGCTTAATGGTTTTGGTAAATGGCACCACCATCTCAGAGAGGAGGAACCCGAGGCTCAGGGAAGTAAAACAACCTACCTGGGGGCCCGGGTTCTTCACTCCCTCTCTCAAGTGCTCTATCTCAAGCTCTAAGAACTCTGGTGGCACAGCCTGAGGCTTCTCAATCTTGCTAGCTGCGGGCTCCATCGGAAGGAAAACAATTCTTATAGACCCTCAGGAATATGACCCTGGGGTGAAAATGCTGACATCAGAAGTTGAGGTCCCCGGCAGGCCTGAGCCCCTCATGCCAGCATGACCTGCTTACCCTTTCCCCTTTCACCTCCCTACCCTACATACAGCCTTTGCACCCTGGTCCTTGTCAGCATCTGTTTTGGGGACTTCTCAGCCTGAGAAAGTGGGTGAATCTGAATGCCCACACGTTTGTGTAAGTGCCATGTTAAATGTAGAGTGTAGACACGTTGTATGTGTTTGTATGTATGCCTGTGTTGGAGCATGTATGAATGTACAGACATGTGTGAAGGCTTGCAGGCTTGTGCACTTACTATTCTATATGTGTAGGTGTGAAGATATGTCTATGGGGCTGGTTTTGTGCACCCTGACATGAGCCGCTTCAAGCGTGTGTGCACTTGCATTGTGTGAGTGTGTGTGTATGCATTAGGGCTCAGAGGAGCACAGCTGGGTGGGGTGAGTTGTGAAGAAGTGAGGGGGAGACAAGGAGGGCTCTGATTATTTCAACCTTGAAAACTCATTTCAATTACAATTTACAACCTACAGACAAAGGCTGCAGTCGCCGTAGTAACCACAGCTGCGGGGTTTTGACGGAGAAAATCCTCCCCGATGGTTCCCTGGCTGGCTGTCACCCATGGCAGAGCCAAACGCATCTCTGCCTCACTGTGCCCCGGGACACAATTAGGACATCTTCAAACTGTTGCTGCTGTCACTGCCGCTGTGTGTGTGGAATTTGTCTCCTCCGATAGCTCTCAGAAATCCATGTCTTGCTTCCTCCCAGAACTGTAGTCCCCCTGCCTGGGCCTGGGGATCCTGTGAAAGGGGATGTTCGGACTCCTACCCACTGTCACCTACTTCCTCTAGATCTGCAGACACGGGGTCCTTGGCCCTTGGTGAGCCCTGGACTAGACACTTGATGGCAGAGCCTAGGCCCTAGAGAAGGGGGAAGGAGGCAGGTCAGGGTGGTGGAGACCCTTTTGGAGCCAGAGCAATCTGGGTTCAAATCCCAGCTCCACCACTTATCAGTTCGTTCGGTCCACAGGTGTGTATTGAGCACTGCCCTGGTGTGAAGATTCCTAGGGGCTTTAGGGACATCACCCACCCACCTGCAAACCTCAGTTACCTCCCCTGTGAGACGGGCTGGTGGAGTCTGTCTCCCAGAACTGTGGGGAAGGTGAGATGTCAGCACACGAGGGCTCGGTGAAGGCTTGGTAAATGCGAGCCACGCTGCAGGGCTGTCTGCTGAGGAGCCAGGGCTCACTGCGCAGAGAGCTGCTCCAGTTATGGGCGCAGCTCCAGTGGTTCTTTGGGACAGAGTGTCTTGTCTTGTTAAGTGTGTTTGTGGTTCCTGTGATTCTTCAAGCTCCCGCCCTCCCCTGCAGTCCCTGCCACCCTGCTCATGGGAGTGCACTTTGGCTCTGTCATTGTTGTTTCCTGTGGGGCACAGGGAAAGGGCCTGTGGGTCCTTACACACATAGAGTGTAGACACGTTGTATGTGTTTGTATGTATGCCTGTGTTGGAGCATGTATGAATGTACATGCACACGTGTGTGGTGGGCACACTCAAGTCCTATTACCCCCTTTGAACGTTGCCTCATGCACCCCACTTTTCTCATTTGTAACTGGGGCTAGACTTCAGACAAAGTCAAGGATGTGAGAGTGTTGAGAAGTCTCTGTAGGTCTGTGTGACAGGGCTGGGGTGGACACTCTGTAGGGGTAGCACTCTAGGACTACCTGGGACCCACAGGACTCTAGAGTCTTTTCCCCCAGAGCTACCCCAGGTAGAATCGGCTTTCCCTGGGGAGGCTGTTCCATGGGGTCCACACTAGTGTTGATTCTAGTGACTTCATGACTCTGGTGAGAGCACTTGGTCCTGAGCTAAAATGGCCCAGGAATGGATGTTTCAGCTGGCTCCTCTGGGGACTCCCCGGAGCCAGGAAGAGGAGAGGCCAGCTTAGTGGGGAAGGTGTGTTTCCACTATAGATATAGCCAGCCTACAGTGCCATGAGGTGTGACCTTGGCCTTGGGAGAGAGCTGCCTCCTCTTTGCAGTGACCACAGCCCACCTCTCTATCCCTGGTTAATAATTTAGGCCTGAATCTGTCTGAGAGGAGGGAGGATGGGAGCTGTACAGAGGGCATTTTATGGATCTCCAGGCAGGAGAGGACAGGGCCTAGGGGAAATGGGAAGCAAGGGTGGGGTCCAGGGCAGGCTTTTCCAAGTGACTGCTCCAGCTCTCTCTGTGCCTTTTGGGGATGGGATTGTCCCTTTCTCATTAGGCCTTCAGGACCTTGTTATCAGAGACTAGAAGGCAAGATGGTGAACTGGAGGATTTGCCTTTCATGTTCATCCCTGTCTGTTTGTGCCTTTGCTTAGAAAGAGTGTTACCTGTTAGCAAAGCTGGCAGACAAGCCCCCAGGTCAAGTGCAGTCTGGGATGGAGGCAGAGCTGGGGGTCTGGAGCCTGGGAGTGCCCATCCTGTTTCCTGTTGGCCGTGTGAGTCTGGGTTTCCTTCTCTGGCCTCATTTTCTCATCTGTAAAGTGACAGTTGGAAAGGATGGTCCCTGTGGCCCTGCCATCCCCAGTATTGTGATTCTATGATTTTTGATATCCAGTTTGTAATCTGAGTGTCTGCTTGGGCTAGGCTGAGAATGGGGTGGGGTTCTGGCCAGCAGGGCCAACTGAGTGACCAGGCCAGCTGAGAGGTGATAAATACCACAGCCAGTCATCCCATACCCTGGGATGAGGGGATTTGATGGTCAAGCAGAACACAGGGAGAAACCGTGAGACTCCCTGCACATGGTGTTGGCCTGTGAGGTGTCCACAGCAAAGGAATGGACATAGTGACCTCTGGAGTTCCCATGGAATCAGGGCCTACTGATGACTCAGGCCAACCTGGTGCCACACAGGAGGGGCAGGCCCCTGGGCTGAGGGGCTGCACACAGGTACATTTGCTCACACTACTGTCCACTGGGGACTGCCCTACAGGGTATGACACATGTGTGGCTCCTGCCTTCCAGCCAGAGGGCTGGGCTGGGGGTTGGAGCCTTCCCTGGCTCTGTCCATCCTGTCCCTTCCTTTACCCTGCCATCCTCCTGCCCTCATGTCCTCCCCTCAGAACCCCCATGCCCTCCCTGTCTGGCAGAGTGTGGTGCACAGGAACTGGGGTACCTGGGTTCAAATCCTGCATGGTCTGGAACATTCCTGAGCTTTTCTGTGCCCAGTTTCTATATCTCTGTAATGGGGGTAATTACTCACTTTGTAGCATTGTTGTGGGGATCCAGTGAGTTATTATCCATGAGGAGCCTAGCACATGGCAGGCGCTCAGTGGCAGTTAGAAGCCAGAGTAGTAATACATTCTTTACCATCATCGTTACCCAGGGCCCAGGCTGGGAACCACCTCCCCACCAACAAAGCCTCCTGGCATGGTCCAGACCACAGACCTCTGTAGCCCCCTCAGCACCCCAATTCTGACCACCTAGCACATATGACACCATGGATCAGTGGAGACTCTTGTGAGGCAGGATTATGAACTCCTTCTTGCCAACGAGGATACTGAGGCCTCTGGCAGCCCAGGAGCTTTCCTGGAGCCCCAGAGCAGAGTGCCTGGGTAGGTACAGAGGGAAGGGCATGAGGATAGGAAGCCAGGTTTCCAAGGCCACAGTGCAATTGGCAGTGAAAAGATGGTTGTGGGGTTCCCCAGTTTGCAAAGTTCATATACACTGGCTCCTGGAGGGCAGGTGTCAGGGAAGTACAGGAAGAATGGCTGGGGATGACTGGAAACCATTGCACGCACAGGAGTCTAATCTTTCAACCTTTCTGGGCCTCAGTTTCTCTACCAGTACCTTGGGGTGAGGACAGCATACGCTTGCTGGTGCTGCCTTTGGCTGCTTTAGGGGCACCGCCATTCTCACTGACAGACACGGCCCCTGTCCTGGCTCTTTCCCAGCCCATAAGGAAAGCTGCTCCTACAATTCCAGACCAGGGTGGGGGACGAGCAGCAGGTGCCACCACCACAGGGAGATCTTCTGGACAAGAATCTTGCAGGGTGATGGGTGACAAGGAGGCCCACCCTGGCCCTTCTGGGGCCTGGGGGGTATAGACATCAGTGGTGCAGTGCTGAGGCCAGTGAGCACTCCCCCCTACCCCTAAGGCCTGTCCCCAGGGGCTTCCACTGGATGGGTTTCTGGGGAGAGGGATCAGACTAGGCTGGGAATCAGAAGGGCTGGGTGTACACCAATGGATCATACCTCCTCTCTGGATGCTGGGGAGCTTTGGCGCCCACTGCACTGCTGTGAAGGTGGTGGACCTCATGGGTGCCCCGTCCTGGGTGTTTCCTCGCAGATCGTGAGCGAATTGGGCAGGACTCTGCATACGAGCAGGAGGGGAAGGTGCAGTTCGTGATTGATGCTGTGTACGCCATGGGCCACGCATTGCACGCCATGCACCGTGATCTGTGTCCTGGCCGCGTAGGGCTCTGCCCACGCATGGATCCTGTAGATGGCACCCAGCTGCTTAAGTACATCCGAAATGTCAACTTCTCAGGTGGGGACGTGGTGTGGGGTACTGCTGGACCCTGAATGTCACTGATCAAGCCCAGGGGAAGTGGGCCTGGGGCTCCGTGGGTTGAGGTCTCCTTAGATGTTTGGGTGAAACCTCCCAGGGTATTCCACTGAGGGGCCTCCCCAGAGATGTCTTTGCCCTGAGCTCCTGTCCTCTCTGTGTCTGGGTAAGGACTCTGAAAAGATACCCACTTTCTCCCACAGGCATTGCAGGGAACCCCGTGACCTTCAATGAGAATGGAGATGCACCTGGGCGCTATGACATTTACCAGTACCAGCTGCGCAATGGCTCTGCTGAATACAAGGTCATCGGCTCTTGGACTGACCACCTGTACCTCAGAGTAAGCAGGAGAGCAGGGAGTGGTCCCAGAGGGGAGTAGAGACAAAGTTGCCCCCCCCCCCACCTAACCCCTGGGGCAGAGGGACCAAAGAGAGGCAGCCTCTGACCAGGCCTGACTACCAGGTTGGGCTTTTTGCCCAGTGGTCCCCACCCCAGAATGGAAGATAGGGTGGCCAGGATCCTGCTGCCCATTCTAGTTCTGTCTTCTCCCTCAGCCTGGGGCCTTCCTACCTGCTACCCATGGGCAGAGGCTGGGGCAACTCTGGGTAGAATTCATACCAGAGTGAAATGGCTCAAAGGCCAAAGGCGAATTTGAGGAAGTGAAGTGAGGAGGGGGCTGTCTTTGGACAGAGGATCGAGTCTTAAGGCAGAGGGCACAGGTCCGGGGGACTGCTGGCCCTGGCTTGTGGGGAGGGACCCATCTGAGAGCTAGTTCCCCAGCCCTGTCATACCATACCAGAAGGCAGTCATTGTTCTGGGCCTTCCTAGCCATGTTTTCCTACCTCATGGAATGTCCCAGAAATATGGTGATTTTCCCTCTCTGGCCCTTTGTGTCCTCTCTTGTGAAACACAACAGTGTTTTTAGAAAGAAGAAACTATGGTTTATTCCCCAAGGAAATGCTTGTGGACTTGGTCTCTACCTTGTAAGGGTGAAGGTGTCAGTGTGGGCTCAATGTGGCACTGTGGAGGAACTGGAGAGACTCGGGGCCCAGGTCCTAGTCCAGCTTCAGCCATCCTTGTTCTGGGATCCTGGAAGTGTCGCACCATGTCCTTGCCATCTCTGTTGTAACAGTCTGTTCCAGTGAGGAGCCCCTCAGGCTTGCTCTACATAGCACTTGTGACTGATGATCTTGTTCAGCCCCAACGGTCTTCAAAGTCAGGGGAAATATTTCAAGAAAACCACCCTGGGGAGATAGGCCCCTTCCTAAGGCCATGCCTTGTGGCAAGAACAGAGCCATTCCTATGATGATGCTCCTTGGATTGCTAAGCAGAAAGACAGGGTGGGTAGGAGCACTTGGCAAAGGGACAGTACCAAAGTGAGGGGGGGTCTTTGATGCATTCGGCCTAGCAGTAACAGCTGGTGCTTACTGAGCACCTGCTGCGTCTCAGCTGCTGCCCTAGCATGTCATCTTGCTGCCAGGGGACAGCTCTGTGAGGTAGGCACTGATATCCCATTTTGCAGATGTCCTAATTGAAGGTGGCAGGGCCTGGGTATGTGTGGGTGGCAGTGGGCTCCTCTCTGAGGGTCCCCTCCCCAGGAGTACAAGGCCCCTCGGCCCATCCAGACCATCTTCGTGGTCCATCCTGGTCCAGCCCATGATGATCTCTTCATCCTATGTTACCTTCTTGCCTTGTAAGGCCTGGACAGAGCTGGGATGGTGCAGGAGGTGAGGTGGGGCTGGACTTTAACCATCACACCTTCCCTGCTTTCTCCCTGAGTGGCTCAGTTTGGGTGGCAGGCAGGGCACCTCTCTGGGCAGGGCGAGGAGGTGGCCTCTCATTGCTGACACCCTGGGCCTCATTGCCTGGGCACAGTTATTCTTTTGTAGGTTCCACAGAGATCTGTGGGGCCTCTGCTATGTGCCAGCCCTGTGCTGGGGTGGAAGTAGAGACAAAGCCCTAGCCCTCGTGGAGCTGATGTTCTAGTGCATATCAAAAAGTATTTCCATTAGACTCCTAAATAGAAGTCACCCAAAGTAACAAAGGGCAGAATGGCTTTGTCTGCTTTCATTGCATCAGATAAGAAAGCAAAGGATCAGAGAGGTCAAGCATTTACTTAAGGGCACACAGCCAGCTAGCAATAGAACTGTGATTCTAGGACTTGGCCAGATTTACTGCTCTTTCCAGCGGAACCACAGAGTTTTCCAGAATACTCACCATCACCCTGTGTCCTCTGAGGAAAGGTCTTTCCCCTGCACCCTTCCAACTATGATATACAGGGATTGTCCTACCTAGTCACTCCCGCAGAGGGGTTGAGCTTGTCACTGTGGCCTTTGGCTTCTAAGGTAATACACATCCTGTCATACCTAGAGCCACAGAACAACATTCTTCCTTGAACTTTTCTTCCCACTTTGCCAAGAGGCATCTTTAGTCTCTGCCCACCCCACCCTACCCCTTCCTCAGCTCTGAAATCTTCCCCACAGCTTCCAACCACCTGGTTATGCTTTCTCAGGAGTGAGCATCCAGCATGAACGTGGGGCCAGTCTAGCCAGGCTTGCTGCTCTCTAAGAGTGGTCTCTTCCTGAGAGTCACTTTATTTAGAGCAGGTGCTTTGAATACAGCTCCCAAGTGTAGCTAAGCTCCCTATGCCCAGTGCTGACAGCTCTTTTGGGCCTCTCACTTACTTTCCAGAATATTGTAACATACTCAGTAGGGTGTGACAACACTCCTGTGACTCCTTTGCTCACAGCTGTTGTGTCTTCAGAGACATGTAGCTGTGAGTAGCACTAATTTAGAGCAAGATGTAAAGAAATGCTAACCCCTGAGCACACATTGAGAGTCCTCTGTTTAAACCTTTGTTCGTTGCTCTCTGCAGAACCCAACTCCCTGGGCTTCTCAGAGCACTGTGGGCTGAGCCTGCATCTCCCATTTTAGTGTGCACATGAATTGCCTGTGGGGAGTTCTTATTGAAACAGATTCTGTGTTAGTAGGGCTGGGGTGGGGTTGAAATGTGAATTTTCAATAAGCTCCTGGGTGCTGCTGCTATTGCTCTGGGGACTACTGTGAGTGGCAAGGCCATAGGGGTTGGGAGTCAGAACTCCTGAGTTCCCTTTGCTTTGCCGCTGATGTTCTGTGAGACCCTAAGTTGTTACTACAGCTCTCTGGACTCAGTTTCTCCATATGAGTCTTGAGAGTTTTGGATTCAATCAAGTTTCCCCATAGATTAGTGGTGTGTGAGTCATCCAGGAGAGCTTGTTAACATCCAGTTGTTAGATGTAGCAAGTCCTGGTGGAATCTGGGCAGCTGGACTTTTACTCACAACTAACTGGATAATTCAAGGGTGGGGCTATGGGGCATCACCCAGTGGATGGTCCAGGGCACTGGGTGCATGTCCTGAGGCCTGCCCTATGGTGCTGTCGTTGCCAGATAGAGCGGATGCACTGGCCAGGCAGTGGGCAGCAGCTGCCCCGCTCCATCTGCAGCATGCCCTGCCAGCCAGGTGAACGGAAGAAGACAGTGAAGGGCATGCCTTGCTGCTGGCACTGCGAGCCCTGCACAGGGTACCAGTACCAGGTGGATCGCTACACCTGTAAGACGTGTCCCTACGACATGCGGCCCACAGAGAACCGCACGGGCTGCCAGCCCATCCCCATTATCAAGCTTGAGTGGGACTCACCCTGGGCTGTGCTGCCCCTCTTCCTGGCTGTGGTGGGCATCGCTGCCACATTGTTTGTGGTGGTCACCTTTGTGCGCTACAACGACACGCCCATCGTCAAGGCCTCTGGCCGAGAGCTGAGCTACGTACTGCTGGCGGGCATATTCCTGTGCTACGCCACCACCTTCCTCATGATCGCTGAGCCTGACCTCGGCACCTGCTCCCTGCGCCGAATCTTCCTGGGGCTGGGCATGAGCATCAGCTACGCAGCCCTCCTCACCAAGACCAATCGCATCTACCGCATTTTTGAGCAGGGCAAGCGCTCGGTCAGTGCGCCGCGCTTCATCAGCCCCGCCTCGCAGCTGGCCATCACCTTCAGCCTCATCTCCCTGCAGCTGCTGGGCATCTGTGTGTGGTTTGTGGTGGACCCTTCCCACTCGGTGGTGGACTTCCAGGACCAGCGGACGCTCGACCCCCGCTTTGCCAGGGGTGTGCTTAAGTGTGACATCTCAGACCTGTCACTCATCTGCCTGCTGGGCTACAGCATGCTGCTCATGGTCACATGCACCGTGTATGCTATCAAGACGCGTGGGGTGCCCGAGACCTTCAACGAGGCCAAGCCCATAGGCTTCACCATGTACACCACGTGCATCGTCTGGCTCGCCTTCATCCCCATCTTCTTTGGCACCTCACAGTCAGCTGACAAGGTGAGTGGCAGAGGGGATGGATGGTGGAGGCCTGGTCTGGAAATGCCTGCTTTTGTGCCGCTCTGCCTTCTGTCCTAGTTGCAAAGTTTTTCTCTAGTTTCTGGGTCTTCTCTCCTTCTCTTTTTCTGTTCCTGCCCTCTCCCCATTTTTTCTCTCTGTCTTATCTCTCTCCTTTGTCCCCCATCCCTTCCTTTTCCTACCCTCCTCCTTTTTCTTCCCTTCTGCTTTGCTCTCCCTATCTCTCTCCATTTCTGACTCCCCTACCCCTCTCTGCCTCCCTTCCATCTCTTTCCCTTCTTTCCTCCCGTGCCCTTTGCATCACCCTGGGACTCTGTGTCCTCTTTCATTCTTCATTCTTTTCCTTCACTTCTCTCCCTATTCAGTCTTCTGTCTGGTCTGTTCCTCTCAGCTTCCTCCATTTACCACTCACAGGATCCCTATGAGATCCTGAGGTCTGAGGTGTATTGGGTGTGACCTCTCCCAGCCCCAAGAGCCTGGGGCCTGGCAGTGCCAGCTGAGTCCCTTCCCTCCCTCAGCTGGAGCTAAAGAGAAGCTGCCACTGTGTTATGTTGGCCTGGCCTGAGAATTTGGGTGTACCCCAAGAGGCCTGTGGGCTCTGCCAATATCCGTGTCCTGGCACTAGCTAGGTGCTTGGGGGAGTTTATCTTGAAGGTTTAGGAGTTGCTGAAACCAGGGGCATTGTACTGGGCCAAGAACCCTAGCTCTTGGTCTAAGCTTCATATCTCACTCTGGGATCTGGCCTGCTGGCCACTCTATCCTCAATTGTTTCAACAGTTAATTGGGGCGATGATCCTTCCCCTGCAATCCATCAGGGGTGTCCAACCTGTGGCCCATATGGATTGTTTGAGGCCTGTTTTGCTCATCCATGGTGTTGGATATTTTGTTCCCTTATCAGCTTTTGTTAGTGTTTGTGTATTTAACGTATGGTCCATGACAACTCTTCTTCTGTCAATGTGTGGCAGAGAAAAAAAAAAGTTGGACTCCACTGCTTCCAGTGTTGTAGCAAGCACATGACACAATGGGTGTATAAGCAGTTACTACATGTAAAGGGGATGGGGTTAAGGAAGCCAGAGGAGGGGAGTGGCATGAGATCAGAAAGGTGACAGGGCAGATGGCATAGGATGAGTCTGTGGGAAGGACTTTGGGTTTTATTGTAAGAAGAGGGCCACTGTGAGCTTCTGAGCAGGTGAGGACCAGGTCTGATGTAGGTTGAAAAGGATCTCCTGGCTGCTGGGTACAGGTAGCTGTCAGGAGGTCACTGTTGTCTGGATGGGAGGGTGCTGGCAGGAGGAGCTGTGGGAAGTTGCGGGGAGGGGGGGGGTCTGGGTGTATCTGGAGGCAGATAGTCCAGGTTTCTGATGAATTGCACTTGGGGTAAGAGACATAGGAGAGAGTCAAGGAGGACGCCATGGTTTTTAGCCTGGGCAATTGGGAGGGAAGGAAAGAGTTCCACACTGAGAGAGGAGAGGATGAGGAGAGGAACCTGTGTCGGGGCAGGGGATGGGGGTCCTTTGGACGTGCTGGGTTTGGGATGCCCATTAGACATCCAAGTGCAGCTGTGAGTCAGTGGTTGAACATAGGAATCTGGAGTTCAGGGGCACATTCTGGGCTGGAGGCATAACTGGGAAGCCTGTCGTTGAAAGTCATGAGCCTAGGTCGGAGCTCATGCTGGCAAGGGTAGTCTCATCATGGCCTCCTTGCAGATGAGGCCCTGGAGCACAGAGAGCAGAAGTGACTTGCCTAAAGTCACACAGCTGGACTTGACTTCGCTCTAACTCAGGAGCCCCATCCATAGCCTATAGTATCCTTCCATAGCTCTGGACCACCTTACCTGCCCTGGGACTTCCTTGGTAGTTCCTACCACTTTTCTAATACTCTTTGAGCATAAGAACTGTTCTCTACTCTGAATCCGAGGGAGGCCAGTGGCTCATCCTCCAACGGTGGCCCTGTAGGCTTGAAGGTTTTAAGAAGCAGACCTTGGGGTTGGCACTGAATGGCTTGAGATAGGAGACTGGGCTTGGCTTTAGCAAGGGGATACCACCCCCACATGCCTGAGCCCAAGCAGCTGTTGTACCCACCCCATGCTATAAGCTAGGCTCTGGCACTCCTACCACCCACCCTACCTCCAGGCCTCTGGGAAGCCTTCCCTGATGAGCACAGGTGCAGGCAGAGACCCCCATGCCCTTCAGTGCCCACAGAACCCCTGGAGCCAGCAGGGGAAGGCATCCTGTACTCAAGGAAGCTGGCAGCTTAAGAGATGACCCTTGATGATGCTGGGGACCCTTTCCCATTCCTCCTCAGGGAACAAAGGTATGTAGCTGGAGGCCACATCATGGTGGTTAAGCCTCTGCCCCACTCCTGCCTTGCCATAATACCCTCTGGCTTTCTGTCAGCATCGTCAGGCATCAGTCCCTCCCACCTCCAGATGCTGGGGTCCAGCCCCGTCTCACCCACCCTACCTCTCCAGTCTCTCCAGTTGACCCTACCTACCTCTGATTTCTCCCTTTGGAGGAGGCCCCTGCAGCTCTGATTATGAAAGGAGCCTCTTAGACGAAGCTCTTGGAGTCCCAAGGAGAGGCAGGGACTTGCCCCAGGTCATACAATAGGTCACTCTCACACCAATTTGTGACCATACAGCCTGGCTCTGCCCCTTGTGGCCAGGACATGGGATGTGCCCTTCTCCCTTTTAGGGCCTCTCCGTGGGGAAGGGGTGGAGGGGATGAGCTCCGAGTTTCGGGGGACTTCCTCCCCAGGCTTCTTAGAGGCTTGGGCAGCCCCGGGGCTACATCTGGGCCATATCATGCTATATCTACAGAATGAGTGCAAGCTATGGACCTGGCCATCAGGTATGTGTGTAGATTGAGTGGGTGTGGCTGTTGTCAGAAGTTGTGGGTGTAGAAATGTGTGCTTTTTGTGCATGAACATGTTTGGTGGGGGAGGGGCAGCCCATGTTCATGCAGATTGAGTGTGGATTGACTAATCTGTGTGCCAAGTGTACATAGCTGCTGGGGTGTGTATGGATGTGCAGATTGTGTGTGTGTGCCCGGGAGTGTTTGTGCACACAGTGTGCAGATGTGTGAGTGCACCTGTTTGTGAGCATGCAGGTGGATGGGGTGTATAGTGTACGGGTACATCTGTGTCCATGCATGTATTGTACTTAGGTGAGTGAAGGGGTGTGTGTGTGAGCCCAGGTACATGTGACCAGGCACAAGTGTGTAGCTCTGAACTCAAGTGTGTAGGTGTGGTGGGGAAGCAGGTGCATGTGTGTGCCTGGGTGTGTGCATACATATACTTGCACATGCTCAACTATGCCTGTCCCCCCAGGGTGCAGGTGCTAGTGCACGGTGGAGCTATCTGAGCCACCCTGGTGAGTAGGCGGATGGATTTCCCAGCTTTAGCCCGGATTTCCAAGGCTTAACACTGTAGCCCTTTGGAATTACCCTGAGCCCTCCAGAGCAGGCTTGCTCTACTATGCAGGATGATTGCTATACTAGACTCTGCAGGACGTGGCTGTGGCAGTGGCCCAGGTTGTGTGAAGTTCATTTGTCTCATTTGCACAGATTCTAAGACTATCAGTACCCACCAGGTTTGGCCAGAGCAGGCAGAGCTCCCTGGTTCCCCCGCCAGGGCTCCTTGCACCCTGTACCCATGAGGCCTCACATGAAAACAAGAAATTCACTATTCACTTCCACAGCTGCTCCTTTCCATGCCCTTTGCCCCACCCCATGTGACCTCAGTCCTCCCCTGTCAAACCCAGCGCTGACAACCTCCTTCACATAGGAGTCCTCACAGAGCATGGAGTAAAGCAAGGCCCAACCGCAAGGGGGAGTGAAAAGGTGGAAAGAAGTTCAAATGCTAGTGGGCTGGGAGATGGGTGGCTGGGGAGGAGAGGGGATGGCAGCTGGAGGCCACCTCTTTCTCTTTTTGCATTTTTTGTTTGTTTTTTTGAGACAAAGTCTCATTATGTTGCCCTCGGTAGAGTGCTGTGGTGTCACAGCTCACAGCAACCTCAAACTCTAGGGCTTAAGCGATTCTCTTTCCTCAGCTTCCCAAGTAGCTGGAACTACAGGCTCCTGCCACAATGCCGGGCTATTTTTTGTTGTAGTTGTCACTGCTGTTTTAGCAGGCCCAGGCAAGATTCAACCCCCCAGCCCTGGTGTATGTGGCTGGTGCCCTAACCACTGAGCTACAGGTGCCGAGCCATGTTTTTCTGCCTTTAAGGCCCCATAGTGCCTGGGAGCCATCCACTCAGGATTGCCTGCTTGGTGCTTGAGGACCACTGCCTCTCTGGTAAGGGCTGATATGCTGCCACTTCACACATGAGGCTCCAGAAACAAGGCTGGAGCCAGAGGCTGGGAATTCTAGGCCCCAGGCAAGGAGAGGAAGTGTGGGGGTAGGGCCTACCTCTCAGTCTAAGGGGTGGCTAGAGGAGTCCCCAGCACCCATGCTGCGAGGAAGGGGGCCCAACAAATTGGGGGAGGGCAGCTTTGCTCCAGTTTGATCTGTTTATATTTGTATTTTGTTTGCAGAGTCTCCTAGGCTGAAAAACAAAACAGAACATCAATACTGTTCTCATGCCTGTGCTCAGGGTTGGCTCTATAATTTTCAGGGCCTAGTGCAAAATGAAAACAAAGAGCTCCTTGTCCAAAAATTATTCAGAATTCAAGACAACAGCAGTAGGGCCCTTCTAAGCACAGGTCCCTGTGGGATTACACAAGTTGCATGTCCATAAAGCTGACCCTGTCTGTGTCAGTGGAGTGGTACCTGCCACCCAGACAGAGGAAATTGCCCAGCATTCTGTGGTGGGTCAGGGCAGAGTGGAATCTGGAACCCAGGCTCCCAACTCCCACCACAGAGTATGTCCACTGCAGTGCTCACCCTGCTCAGAGAAGGGCTTCTATCCCTGGTCCTACCAACTCCATATGGGCCTGGTTCCACCTACCCCATTAGCACGGTGGAGGCAAAGCATCTAAGATAGGTATATGACCTGGAACACAGCCTCTATTCTCAAACCCCCAATGTGGAAGGAGACGTAGTCCTTGCTCACATTCTAATGAGCGAGACATGCCTTGTCCCAGGGAACTCCCAGTCTAGTGGTGAAGACCCAGATGACTAACTTACTGTGCGTTAGCCCAGTACTCTAGGGTATTCTCCAAGAGTCTGTTTTATTTTATTTATTTATTTATTTATTTATTTATTTTATTTATTTTTGAGACAGAGTCTCTCTTTGTCACCCTTGGTAGAGTGCCATGGTGTCATAGCTCACAGCAAACTCTTGTGCTCATGCAATTTTCTTGCCTTAACCTCCTGAGTACAGGTGCCTGCTGCAATGCCTGGCTAATTTTTAGAGATGGGTCTTGCTTGGGCTGGTCTTGAACCTGTGAGCTCAGGCAATCCACCACTTTGGCCTCCCAGAATGCGACCCACAGGAACTGTATTAAAGGGTAGCGGCATTAGGAAGTTTGAGAACCACTGTTCTAGAGCCTGTCCCTTCCCCTTCTCACCCTGGCCACTGGCCTCATCTCAGGGTGGGAGAGATGGCTGGAGCCCTCCCCCTAGCTTATCTTGGCCTTTCCTTCCAACAGAGATGTGCTGTGCCCATGAGAGTGAGAGTGTGGATTGGGTGTGAGATCTGGGGAATATCTGTCTATGTCTGGATGTATACTTGCTGGGGGATAGGACCTGTGACATTTTCCCGGACAGTGGCAAATGCAACAGCCTCTCCATGCTCCCAGACTTCTTGCCCACTGAGCTCTGATTGATTTGGGCCATGCCAGCCTAGAGGCTGGGCTCAGAGGAATGTCAGCTTACTGGAAACATCTTGGCTATCTAGCCATGCCCTTGTGTCCCTTCTCTTCAGTTTCAGCCCAGTGCCTAAAGCAAGTTTCATGTGGCTTCATAGTCCGTGCTTGGGGTAACCTCATGGTTGGGTGAGGTAGGATCCCATTGTACTGATGAAAAAACCAAGGCCCACCTGGGGGCACAACTCTCCTTTCCGAGTCCTCTGTCAAAGGTAGGAAAGCCAGGAAGGGGTGGCTGGAAATGAATGCCTCAAAGCCAATGAGGCGTTTCAGGAGAAGGGGGCAGGAGATAGGAGAAATATGAGAACAGCAAGACCTGACCCCTGCCCTAGGGTTACTACCAGATAAGGCCAGGGCTATGCCTCGGGAAGTAAGTCCATACTTATGTCCTAAACTGCTGGGCTTGGTGCAAGAAATGAAGGATGTCATAGGGGTCAGAGAAGCTGGAGGTCAGGGAAGGCATCCTAGAGGAGGTGGCACATTAGCCATGCCCTGGTGGAGGGTCTAGGCCCAGAAACAGCAGATTTGGGGGTCAGAGTACTTTCTGTCTCCCTCAAGTCCAGGCCTGGGAGAGACAGCCTGGTCTCCCCTGGCCCCACCTTAGCTAAGCGGGCCAGAGGCACATCTGACACCTGGAGGGTTGGAAGCAGAGAGGAGGTGGGGAAGGGAATCTCAGGCCGGGGCAGTGGGAATTGTCAGGCCCTGCCTGGAAGGCCCCTCTATAGAAGAATGGATATCCAACACCCAGATTGATGGGCTTTCATTTTGCTAAACATCTGTCACTGTTAGTGCTGGCGAGTGAGCATGAAATGTTCTGCCACTACTGTATCATAATGGGTGTTGTGGATTCTGTGCCAATGTTCTGCTCTGCACAGAGGGGACAGTGGGGGAACAGTCACTGAATGAGAGGCCTGGTCCAAGGTGCTGTGGCAAGGCCACCAGGAGTTATTCCAAGGCACCAGTAGGTGCTTCTTTCACAGTCAGCCCTGAAAAGGGCCCGTTGTGGTCCCTTGAGAGTCTTTCCTCAGGGGTACCGCTCCTGAACAGCACGTGACAGTGGTAAACACTCCCATGGCGCTCACCATGTGTCTGGTGTTGTTTCCCACGCTTTTAACATTTATTAAGTCATTTGATTTTCACAGCATCCCTAGGAGGTAAGTGTTATGATCATCATGCCCATATTATAAGTGAGGAAACTGAGGCGCAAGGATTTGACTTGTCCAAGATCACACAGCTGGAGGTTGTGCAGCCAAGATTTGAATACAGAAATTCTGTTCTAAATTTCTAGCTCCATACCTGACTCCTTTTTCCTGATGCCAGTGGGACCCATGCAGGGTGGGAGGCCTGGGTCTGTCCCTGCTGTGCCTGTCCCTGGGTGGGAAGTGGAAGAGGTCAGGACCCTGAGGCTATGTGGAGCCTGCTCTGACGCTGCCCTGCCCTCCTCTAGCTGTATATCCAGACTACAACACTGACAGTGTCTGTAAGTCTGAGCGCCTCGGTGTCCCTGGGAATGCTCTACATGCCCAAGGTCTACATCATCCTCTTCCACCCGGAGCAGAATGTGCCCAAGCGCAAGCGCAGCCTCAAAGCCGTCGTCACCGCTGCCGCCATGTCCAACAAGTTCACACAGAAGGGGGGCTTCCGGCCCAATGGCGAGGCCACATCTGAGCTCTGCGAGAACCCTGAGGCCCCAGGTGAGTGCCTGGTAACACCAGTCTCCCTCTGGCCCTACCAGGGCTTGCCCCCCTTTTGTGAGAAGATTAGATAAGCACCTGTGAGGCTCTTTCCCTAGCCTGGTCCTCTGGGGAAGGGAACACCAGGACCAGCTCTGCCCGGAAGGATCTCAGGGAGAGCCCTGAGGCACTAGGTTGAAGCCTATCCTGTCCTGCCTCCTCCTGGCAGGCTTAAGAGAGCTTCCCAACCCAGTCCTAGCCACCCCTCTCCAGAGATCTGTGCCCCACCTAGTGTGAGGCCCTGGGGGTGCCTGGTTCATTCAGGTGGCATAAGATTCTGGGACTCTGTCCAGGGGCCCACATCTCTACCTACCCTTTCAGTCCCTTTGGGAGGAGGGACTGTTTCAGAGGGTCCCTGCTCACTGGCTCTTGGGTGACCAGGGAGGAGTAGCCCTGTACTAGAACAGCTATAATCCTCAGCTTAGCTTTGTTCAGTCACCCCATAGCAGGGCCCTAAGAAATAGGGACCCAGGATATGGGCAGGCCCAGGACAGGTAAGTGAGGGGTGTGGGGCAAGGCAGGGGAGCCTAAAGAACTGCCTCCTACCATTCTCTGGTAGCAGCTGTCCTAGGGTGGGGGCAGGGGAGTGTTGGAGGAGACCTCAGCACTGGAGGGTCATGCTTTGGTGGGGATGGAAAGCAGCAGGGACCTCAGCATATGGAGGGCAGTTCCATGGCCCTTCTGGGGCTGGTAAGGAGCAGTGCACCTGCTCCCTCTTCCTCCTGGAACCATCTCTCTGTGTGCAAGGAGCAGAGGCAGCAAGGAGGAGAGGGGCAGGATGTCAGGGACAGCTAGGTCTCAGGGGGACCAGAATAGTGGTTCTCAGCTCTTGAACCCTTAGTGTGTGCCACTCCTACTCTGTGCCAGTTTTTATCCTCGCAGCAGCCTTGAAAGGCAGGCTGTTTGCCATTTGTGTGATATGGATGGGGAAAGAAAGGTTCAGAAGGAGGCAAGGGACTCCCCCAGCAGGTGACAGGGCCTCTGTGTGCTGCCTCCACCTCTCAGGCACCTCTCTGCCCCGATGAGCCACAGGCCTCCAGCCTGAGGGCTGGGCCTCTTTGGGCCTCACTTCCAGCTGCCCTGGGGTAGAGAGGGATGGAGGAGCCATTGTGGTGACCACAGACCCACTACAGGCCTTGGCTTCCTCTGTGAACACCCTGAAAGTAGCCCAAATAGTTATGTGGCAGCTCCCCTGCCTCTTCCCTCTGAAAGTCTTGGGGCTTCCATTGGTAGGAGAGGGTGGAGAAGGGCCCCCCTCCCAAGGAGAGTTTTAGATACTGGTGGAAGCTGGGAATTAGCACTCTTCTTCCTCCCTCTAGTGCTGAGGAAAGGCCAGAAATGAGTATTTTCGATGACAGCAGGAGGGATACAGTCTAGACCACAAGAAGGCCCAGAGCACAGCCCCAGAGGAGACCCTTTGTCCTCCTCCAGTAGCTCAGGTGAAACAGGAGACCTTCCATCCCCAGTGGGTTTGGGCTGGGGCAGCACCTCTTACAGGAGCCCTGCCCTGGGCTCTGGGTAAATCGCCTTCCTTTCCTCCATGAGTGGAGAGCATATTAGCTGAAAGGGGGCATTCCTTCCCACCCTCTGTTGGGACTGGCACTCCCCAGAGTCTGCTGCTTTGCTAAGTGATCTTCAGTAGTCCTGTGAGGCCCAGGGAAGTCTGTGGGTTGATCCCCAGCTGATGGCAAGAGAGGCTGATTCTCCCGAGATCATGCAGCCAAGAGGTGGTTGGGTGGCCACAGGGTCTCTTGGCTCTGATTTCATGTGGCCTCCTTTTCTCTGGGGTCCCCATCTTTTGTGCCGAGTGGTATACCTGGCTCTGACACCCCTTCCTCCTTTGATTGTCATTCTTCATGTCTGCGTGTGTCCCTCCTCTGCCCCAGTGAGTGCTGGTTCTCTCCAGTCCTGCTTCTCCTCCCAGAACCTGGACCCTGGGGCTCTCTTCATGTGCTGGGCTGCCCTCTATGCTGAGCTGGCAAGGGCAGGGGGCCCACACGGGACTCCCATCTTTGGCCTGTCATGTCTACCTGGATGTCCAGAGACCCCAAATGGAGTTCCTGGTTCCTAAGCAGGAACTCCCTCCCTGCCCCTGTGCTCCCCTGCCCTAGTTTTCCTCCTTCCTATGGAAACTTGCCTTCCTGGGTCTTGTTCCCTTAAAGCCTTCCTCTCCGCCATGTGCAGGAGCAGGTCTGTCAGAGAGGCTTTGCTCCAGGGTTCCTGAGGGCTAGCAGGTATTAGTCCCCTCCTAGAGATGACACCCTGACCCTAAAGGTGACACTGAGAGTACCATCATCGACCAGAGGGCTGCATGGAGGCCAGGGCCCTTTGCAGAGAGCACTGCTGGCTCCACAGTGGCGTTGCCCCTCTGTCTCTGCTCTGGCCAGTCACTCACTCATGCTAGACAAGGAGGAGTGTGAGACACAGTGACGGCAGACCCACTGTCCTCAGCCCCCCACTTCCTCCAAAGGAAGGATGGGAGCAGGGGCTCTTGGTGAAGGCCAGCACCCAGCACCCTGTGCCCCCACTGTCTCTCAGCTCAGTGACAACAAGGGCCAGGCAGGAGCCAGGTGATTAATTCTGGGAGTAGCTGGACTGAGGGGTGCGAGCAGATGAAGTGGGGAGGTGTCACTCCTGTGGAGCAGGGACATTTTTCACTCTGTCACTGGCAGGCCACGTATCTTTAAACAACAGAATAAATAATTCAGGGGCCCGATTGCAGGCAGATTGGGTGTGGAGACATGGGGCGACAAATGGGGGCTGTCAGCTTGTGCCTGGTGCTGCCCAGCTAATTGTTATCCAAGCCTCTGGTGACAGAAAACCATCAGTGAGGGCCTAACATCAGCAAGGGAGGGCTGCGGCCCTCTGCCCATATACCCGCCCCGTCACCTCATACCAAGGATACTCCCAGGGCACTGCTGTCCCCAGCCTGTCCTCATCACTGTAGTTATTTCAGTCCTGCCCTTTTGCCCAACATTTTATAGCATTTAAAGGGCATTTCCATTCACCCCTGAGCTGTCCCAATTGGGGTCCATTATATCCCATTTCACAGATGAAGGAAATGCAGCTATGAGAAGGGCCACATGGCAGGCACTTGGAGCCTCACTGTTAGCTTATGGGGGCCTCGGGCAGACTCACTGCTCCTGTTTACCAGATGGTGAGACTGAGGCTCAGCTGAAAAGCTCTGGAGGCTGTGGCATGTAGCTGAAGTCCCAGAATAGAGTGTCCCTCCACTCCAGGTTAAGAACCTGGGAACTGGATTTCCTAGGAGACAGCTCTGGCCTTGGAGGAGAACTTAGCTGTCCCTCCTCCACACTTTCTCTCATCCCTTCACATGCCCCTGGTGCCCTCAGTGGCCCTCAGGAGCACAGTCAGGGGATTTACTGCTGTCACTGCTGAGATTTTCCTTCACCTCTGAGCCAGGAGCTGCTGATGAGTTTTCCTGGTTTGGAAATTCAATTTTAGTAGTTCACCAGAGAGTGATGGGGCCCTGGGGAGCTGGTTTCAACAGCCTGGCCTGCAGGTGAGTGATTCTGATCTGCAGAGCTGGCTGCTAGCTCTTTATGTGACTATGGGAGATGGAATGGGATGGAGATTCTGGAGGGAAGTTGGGAGCCCTTTAGGAAAAGAAGTCTAGGTAAACAGGGCCACCCCATCATGTTTTAGGCAAGGAAATTGAGGCCCAGAAGGGAAGGAAGCCCAGAGGTCATAGTGGGACCACGAGGCCTCCCTGCAGCTAGAATCTGGGCTCCTGACCTCAGGGCTCTGACCTGTGTGTGCTGCCCCCACCTCCCTTGAGTACCTCCTGCCATCCTGGGGTGGTCTCGCTAAAGACTACCCCCTGGATGCTGCCCACTAAAATTGACTTGTCCAATGGTCCTTCTGCCCTCTTGGTCATCCAGAGCCTAGAGAGACATGGTCGTTTTAGAAATGAAGAAGGAATTCTTCATAAACTATAAGGCACCATGCTTTGTTCTTATTTTTTTCTTGGATGTTGTGGCTCCATTTTCTTCCATTAGCAACTGTCCAGGTGGCACCTTGGGACTTCTCTACCACTGAGCCAAGTGATTGCTCATCCTCTGCTTGAATATTTCTGCTAACGGAGCGCCCACTACCACATAAGGCCACCCACTCCACTTTCAGCTGTTGTCAGGAGAAAGTTCTTCCTTTAGCTAAACTGAACTCTGATCCTCATGTTTCTCTATGGGCTCCACGGTGAACCCCTCTGCTCACCCCACCCTGTAAATTTGCTTCCTCTATACACAATGGACCCTCTGATACTTGGACACAGCAATCCTGCCTGTATTAGGGAGCTTTGGGTTACATTGCTGTGACACAGAGGTCCCAGAATAGAACAGAGTGGCTCAAATCAGACAGATGTTTGTTTCTCTCTGCCATAGTAGCACATGGTGGGTGGGCAGGCGCTGAATCTACGTTCTTTCTGTCTTGTTGCTCCATTGGCTCCCAGAGGACTGAGGCTGATTGACCACAATACTTGTCCTGCTCAAAGAAGGGAAAAGAGAACATACAGGGGAAACATTCCATTTTAATCAAATGATATAGGAATAGGACTCAGTCCTTCCACTCACATGTCATCAGCAAGAATGTGATCACATTCAAGGCCCTACGTAGCAACAAGGGAGACTGGAAAACAGTCTTGAACTTGGCAATCATGCTGTTAAGGGGGCCCAAGACTGAGGACTGAGGGGAGACGGGGGTGCCAAGAAATAGGAAGTGGATGCACTGTGGGTCGTGGGTATCCAGGAACTGCATTTTGGGGGGCATGGGGCAGAGGGCTGCATTGATCACATGTTTAGCCCTGCGCGGCGCCTCTCTGGTTTTCATTGTTTCCTCTGCTACTCCTTCCCCACTTCTTTCCTCTAGGTCACCATTCTAGTTTGTATAGAACATATTTGCATGTGCTCTTCCAAAATGTGTGGTTGAACTTCTGAAAGACTTCCTTTGACATTATTTTAAGGTTGCATGATAACACAAATAAAAATGATTATTTTACAGGGCGATAGAATTAGCAGGGGCTCTGTGGGGAGATCCTCCCACAGGAGTGGAATTTTGTGGGGGAGTGCTCGAGGGAGGAGTCATTTCTCAAGTGACAAAGGGATGAGGGATGGGTAGTCCAGGCAGGCAGCCCAGCCCAGGAGATGGGAAACCTGGGCCAATCCCCAGGTGCAGGGTTTATGGGGCGCTGACTCCTTGGTTCAGGACTCTGGGCTGGATGGCATGGGTGGTGGGGAGCTATGGTAGGTTCTTGTGCAGGGCAGTGCCCATGTGGAAGGGGTTTTGAAAAAGTCAGCTCCTAACTCCTGGGTATCCCTGATCTCTCTCTTTCTAGCACTGGCCACCAAACAGACATATGTCACCTACACCAACCATGCAATCTAGCTGGGCCACAGAACTGAGCAGGAGGAGGAAGAGCCACGATCCTTGTGGATGGTGTTGGCCCAGGGCCACTCTCAAGGGCCCAGCTGATATCCTGCCTGCCCGTGGGTGTCCACGGACATGGCTTGGTGCTGAGGACAGCAGAACTCCCAGCCATCACTGCTGGGCAGCTTGGGAAAGCCAGGTGGGCAACAGGAGGAGGATGAGGGGCTGGGCAGCTCCAGGCCACATGGAGTATACGTCTTGCACTATTGCCCCTCCTGGCCCCAGACCACAGGGGCTCAGGTCATGTAGGCACCAGTGCTGGTTCTCTCCCTCCCTCCACCTCTGTCTGTGCTACTGGCGACCTTCCCAGTGTGTCTCCAGGCCCCTGTCTTTATGTTCTGTTACCTCTGTTCTCAGCTTTTCTGTGTCTTCTCCTCTTTCTGGCTCTCACCTCTGCCTCCTCTTGTTCATCCTCTGTGTCCACCTCTTCCTGCTTTCTCCTGGCTTCCAGCCGTGTCACTCCTCTCATGCCTTTTTCGTTCCTGTTCTCAACTTCATTTTCATCCAGCCTTTGTTCCTCTCTCCCTTTTCCAATTCACCAAATTTTATGTGTCACAAAAGAGAAAAAAAGGAAAAAAAAAAAAGCAAAACACAAAAAGCCAAAAACAAAAACAAATCTCGAGTGTGTTGCCAAGTGCTGCGTCTTCCTGGTGGCCTCTGTGTGTGTCCCCGTGGCCCACAGCCTGCCAGCCTGCCCGCCTGCCCCACCGTCTGCCGTGTGTCCTGCCCGCCTGCCCGCCTGCCCCTCCTGCCGACCACACGGAGTTCAGTGCCTGGGTGTTTGGTGATGGTTATTGATGACAATGTGTAGCGCATGATTGTTTTTATACCGAGAACATTTCTAATAAAAATAAACACATGGTTTTGCACCTGGGTTCCACATCCACCGAGGGTCCTGCCAGGGGAACATGGGCTCAACTCACGTTCAGAGGGCCTGGAGTTAGAGGGAAGGAAGAACTAGGAGATAGAAACGGCTTCCTGGAATGGCCTTGGGCAGGGTGGGGCCAGGTTTCCAGGTGAGGGGCAGGGACATTGAAGGACAGTCAGAAATCAGCACCTGGTGGACCACTGATTAAGGGGGGTGTTCGGTCCCCTGCCCTGCAGCCCCAAGGGAGGGAGGGATTATTTCCTCACACCCAGAACCTACCCCACATGTACACCAGAGCCTTTCTGCCTGCTGGGAAGTCCTCTTGAGAAATTGGCTTCCCAGGCTGCCAGCACCGCAGCCCTTCTCTCCTCTTGTCTCTAGGTCCAGGTGTTAAGATGTTGTCTGTCTGTCCTGGAAATCAGAGTGTGGCATGTGTGTCCCCAAGTACATGGCATGGTGTGCGTGTGAGTGTCTGTTTTGGCTGCATGTCTGTGTGTACACCTGCACCCCCACATGTCTGTTTGTCCTGTGTGAGTGTTTGTTTTAAGCCCAAGTGAGTGTGAATCCCCATCACACCCACATCATGAGGATGCCTGTCCCAGGCTGGCCTGCTTCCTTGGCAGGTTGGGAGAGGGGTGTGAGAGTGGTTCAGGGGCTGGACTCTGCCAGGGGTAAATTATAGAGCCAGAGACACAATGAGGCCACAGGCAGCAGCTGGTGCCCAGGCTGTCTCTTGGTCCCCTCATGCCCAGGCTGTCTTGGTGTCCCCCTGCCCCACCCCCAAGTTCTGCACCCCTTCCTACTTTCCTAGCTGACTATGTGGGGCATCAAGGGACTGGAGGGACCCTGGGCAGGGAGCTAGGTGGGGACTGGTGTAAGGATGTGAGTAGAGGTAAGGCTGGGGCATGGAACCATGCCGGGTGTTAGTGCCTCCTAGGGGAAGGGGTGGTCTTACACCCCTGTGTTCAGGAAATCTCTTCTCCCCACAGAGTCTGTTGACAGCATCTAGTATATGCTCAATAAAGAATTGGGTGAGGGAAGGAGAGAGAAAGGGGCTATCTCTCAGTGATCATCTTACTTACATAGGATAGTCCCTAAGACTACCCAGAATTGATCCCATCCAGTCCTCCAGCCCAGTCAGGCAAAATTAGGTTGCCAGACCAAGAATGTTTGTCAGAAGCTTTTAGGGCAGTGCTTGTGTGTGAGAAGGAGGGAACAGGATGCAGCCAGCTTTCCCCCTGGGTGATTCTCTGACAGTACCCCCAGTCTAGGCACCTTGCCCCTACTCTGGCCCACTGCTTTCATGAGGTGATGGACGCTCTGATGACAAGGCTGGGTTGGGCCTGGGGCCAGGGCTTGATGCTCAGCTCAGGACTTGCCCAGTTGCCCTTCATCTGTGGGGCATCTGTCTAGGTTCCAAGAGGAGAATCATCTTCTCTCTAAGGGGGGTGCTGCCTCTGTGCTCATCTCAGCTCCCAAGGGAGGGTCTGTGGGAGGCTGGAAATGTTAGTGGGAGGAGACTAAGGGGCTTCTAGGAACCAGGACAGGCTGGGTGGGACTTGGACCATCTGGAGATGGAGGGTTGGCCTAGGCATCCAGGCCCTGCCCTCAGGGGGCTGTCTGTCCTCTGTCAGAGGGGAGAAACACAGTCCTGCCCTCAAGGAGCTTCCAGTCTGATGGGGGAGACATATTAGACTGTGTCCCACAGTAAAATAATTAGGGGAATGAGGTAAACTAAGGGAAGACTAGGGTGTGTGTATGTGTGTGATTTGGGGCAGCTGATCCTGGGGTGCAGTGGGCTCTATGGGACTGAGGTAGACAGGAGGACCAGGCCTCGGCAGGCTTCTGCTAGTCAGACTGGCCCTGGCAATTGAAAAAGTGGGCACTGTTGGGGTCCTGGGTCCATCATCTGGAAGGCTCAGGCCATTGAGGCAGCAGGGCTGAGGTCCTGCACGTGCGCCCAGGTGGGCCCTTATGTACATAGTGGGAAAGACACAAGGCCCTTCCTGGACCACCTGGCTACTCACCTTTGCTCTCCATCCTAAATTATTCATGTGGGACACCCAAGTAGGGTGGACAGTTGCTCAGTATCTTCAGAACTTCATATTTCAATAAGGTGGGGTTTTTCATGGTCCATGACACCCCAGTCAGGGAGCCAGCAGCCCCCAGAGACCTTTGCTCTGTAGGAGGGATTATGGGGTCTCCACAGGCCCTGTGCTCACTCCTCCCCTGGGGCCTCAGCCTCCTTGAGGTTGGAATGAAAGTATTTGGCTAGTGGACATTCTAACCCCAAAAGTGTACTATTTTTTAACCACCAGGGGAACTTTTAGACAATACAGCTGCTGGGCCCCTCTCTAGAACACTAGATCTCAATCTCTGTGGGTGGGCCTGGAGGGGGGTTTAAAAACTCCCCAGAGGATTGGCTGTGTGGTCTAGTGGGCAGGTGTGGTACCAGACCTTGGGCTTTATGAACCCAGGAGAGAACCAGGATGCCCATGCTCCAGCCTGCCTGGGCTGTGCCAGCCTGAGCAGGAGCCCACTGAGCTGGCAAGCTGGCTGGACACATGGGACACTTTTGTAGAACTCCTGAGAACCTGGAGAGACCAGCTTCACAAGCAGTGGCCAAGCTGAAGTCTGGGGTTCCTTCCAGCTCAGAGGACTGGTTCTGAGCTCTAATGCCCTTTGGTCTGTCCCTCCTACCCTGTCTTCTCAGGCCCTGGTAGCAGAGCACAGCAGGACATGTACAGAGCCAGGTCAGGTGGGAGAGAGTTGCCACCTCAGCCTCCAGGCCTACTGAGGGGGTCCTAGGGAGCCCCCAGAAGATGCTGAATCTATAAGAGGCTGTGTGGCCCCTCTCCCTAGAGATACGTCTTTCTGAGGCTCTCGCTTGGTCCCCACAGCTGCCTTCTCCCAGCCACGGGATTCTATCTGCCCACTGAACATCAAGGGGAAACCAAGGCACTGAGGGCTCCTCCCTGCCCTCCTGTATGCCCTGTCTTGGCCATCCACAGGGGTTGGCCCTGGCATTCTGAGCCTCACAGGGCTCACTCCCCACCACCAAGCCAACCTGGCACTGAATGGCACACAACACCAGAATCTCACTTCAGTTGGCAAAAGCAGCAATTAGCATCTAATGAGGCTTCTTGCTTTATTTTTAGGTAACCTCCAAGGCCCTGCCTGTGTAATTCAGCCCGCCATTGCTCGGCAGATAATTAAAGCATGTCACCGTAATTTGCCTTTTTTTTTCTTTAATAAAGCCCTGTAATTATGTTTTTATTGTGAGTGAGAGGGGAAAAGGTGGAGGAAAGGAAAGCAAAGTGAGGTGGGGGTGGGGCAGGAAGTGGGGCTTGGCTCCCTCCACCAGCTCCTCCCATTCCCAGCAGAGCCCCCAGGACTGACTTAACTTTCCCCTTTCCTTACAAAACCAGCTCAGGTTGCTTCAGCATCATCCAATGGGCAAAGCTGAAACCAGAGTACCCATAAGTTAACGATCCTTGGGCTGGGTATGGGCACGTGGGAATTCTTTATACTATCCTTCTGTGTGTGCTGGAACATTTCCATAATAAAAAGTTAAATAAAACTCCACTCCCGGGAAGGGGTCTCCTGACTGCCTGGCAGCTGGTATCTGCTCTCAGGGCACTTGTTCCTTTTCTCTGACTATGAGGTGCAGGGCTGTCATTTCCATCATTTCGGTGTTAGTGAGCAGTGATGGATGATCTTTCTGGGGCATCTGAAATCAGACTTTCCAAGCTGCAGGCCAGCTGGGAACAGGCAGGGCAGCTGCCCACATGGCTTCAGGGAGCCTGCTGCCCTCAAACATCTTCCCAACTGCCAGCTGTGATGCCTAAATTTCTATGGTTAAAGCCTCAGGCTGCTGGGCCAAGGCATATTCTCTCAAAACATGTCAACCAGATGGCAACCACGTTGGAATCTGGCCTCAAGATGCCAGCTGTCCCGAAGGTGTGGGCCGTGGGACAGGTAAGTTTTTTTTTTTTTTTTTTTTTGACAGGTGAGTTCTGAAAGAGCTTCCCAGATTACCCTCATTTAAGCAGCATTCCCTTGTCCACCTTCTGGATACCACCTGAGCCCCTGACATTGTGTTCCATTTACTCAGTTTGCTCATTACCTTTCCCCCAGGAGAATGTCAGCCCTGTGAGGGCAGGGGCTTTTGTCTGTTTGATCACAGCTAAATCTCAGGGCCTAGGCCAGTACCTGGCACATAGCCAGCATACAATAAATGTCTGTTAAATGAATCAGGAGGGGAGCTGAACTGGATATTTGGACCTATTTAGCTGTCTCCCAACACTTAGTTCAATCTGTGAGTCTCTGCCCAAAGTCTGATGGCACATTTCTTTATTTGAGCTTCCTAATGTCTTCACTTAGAGACCTGGATTCTAGGTAAGTCTCTGCCACCAACTCCCTGTGTGCCCTTGGGCAAGTAGCTTTCCCTCTCTGGGGCTCACTTTCTAATCCTTAAAATGTA